ACAATCATTATGCTCACACCATTTCCTCATTGTCTACCTCCCCTTGAAATTTCCTATATATTAACATATTCATATAGTAACATGAGTTCAGTTTTTATCCTCATTAGTTAGAATATAAGTGAACAACAATTATAAAACAGCTTTAAATGTCAAAATATTCATATTTGCAGCTGAAAAAAATACTAGGATTCTGGAGGGTAGGGAATTAGTAACAACAATAGCAAAAAAAAAAAATTAAGGGCTTTGTGTTGTTGCTTACTGAGATGTTATTTCATCAGTCTATTAAATGAGCTGAAGTCTATTTGGATAGCAATCAGTAAAAGTTAGCAATTAGTGTTGATTTACCCAGAGCCAGGCTCTATGGGAAATAGTTTACCTACAGGATCAATTGATATTTTCAGTAACCCCAGGAGATGCAGAGCTCCACACAGTGTGAATGGCAAAGCTGACAGATAGCAACAGTCGTGGGCTGACACCCACCGAGTTTGCAAGAGACCAAAGCTGGGCCGTCTCTCCTCCACCTAGTTAAGATTTTATTATTTTACTCTCTCTCTCTCTCTCTCTCTCTCTCTCTCTCTCTCTCTCTCTCTCTCTCTCTGAGTGTGTGTGTGTGTGTGTGTGTACAATTTTGTTTTGTTTTCTATTTTTATTTACTTATTTTTATCATATTGGTTAATTTTAATCTATCTGTTTTGATTTTCATTTTTTGTTGCTTGTTTGTAGTTTTTGTTTTGTGTGTTGAGAGAGGGAGAGGAAGAGAAGAAAGAATACAATCAAAATATATTGTATAAAAAGTTCTTTATAAAAGGAAAATGGCTTTTATTCCTACTATGCTGTTTTCTATAAAAACAGTCTTACTTTTTCGTTAAATCAGCTCCGTCTGATTTCCACTTCATAACCTTATGGTACTTTATACTACCGCAGGAGAAATCTTTTTTCTTGGTGAATTTGACCTGCTTTCATTGTACATCCTTTCATCCTTCTCTTTTGGTACCCAGCAGGGACAAAGGTCTGCTCCATTTCATATAAACTGCATATTTCCCACCTGGCACTTTTTTGTGATTAGGGAAATCAGCTTCTCCTCATGGGGTGGAAGAATGTTTGATAGACAAGGTAGGTTCTTAGCAGAACCTTGGCAACGGCGTCACAGTTTGTGTCAAGCACAATGACCTCTGGATTGTTTAATGACAGTTTTTAATGCTACCTCAATCACAATGGTGACCATTAATGAGAGCGTGTGGACAGGCTCATGGGAGATGGAAGGTCCCACGGGGCTTGATGAGTTTTCTGAACAGTAAATCCATGGAGTATGAACTATTTTTCTGAAAGATGAGGAGAGCACACAAGACAAACATTAACGCCAACCTCTTTCCCACAGAAAGTAATGAATTGTATGCTGAGTGGGCCTCTAGGACTCTAAATGCCATGGGCAGTGACATTTCCACTCCGGTGACTCACGCAGCCAGAGTGCTTTTACCATGAACTTTGGAGCCTGGAAAAATCCCAGTTAGGTTTGAAATCAACCAAAGAAAGAAAACTGATTTCTTGCAGGACATAATTTGTGAGCAGTGCTACCAAGGGTGCTTTCATTCCCCATTCTTTGGTTTCAATTCTTCAACTACTTCTGTTAAGGAGTTGACCTTGTCTCCATTTCACAGATGAGAGAGCAGAGGCCGAGGAAAGCTAGCTGAGTTGGCAAGTGGCTGATTTGGAATTTTACTCACTGCTATCTGAGGTGCACAGCAAGTCCATGGAAGCACACTAGTTCCTTATGGCTGGGTTTTGACAAGTACAGGCATGACTGTTGTGTGTGTAGATTAGGGGTCTTTTGCTTCCTAAAGGGCTCTTCTCTCCACTGTCCTTCACTTTTTAGAATCAGGCTACTTACCCTTGACTTAGTATTGTTGGAAGGCCTTACTGACTGGTCAGAGGTTGCAGTCTATCATGGCCTGACAGCTTTCTTCCAAAGCTCTTGGACATGGAGACTTCCTCCCTCCTCAATGAAACTTCCTGCTCTCTACCTGCCCTTATCTGGAGAATGCCCCTGGGCCTGGAAGACTGACCTTATCCAAAAACTGTTTCTAAGCCAGATGCCTGATTTATCTTAGCTTGACCTTTGGCACAGATTCCTGCTTGGCACATATGATAACTAAGACTTGTGCTAGGAGCCTTATGATAGGAGTGTTCCCCTTAATGCAAATTAGTGTCTGTCCCTAGACTCCCCAATCCTACATATTTCCTATACTCTGGGATAAAGTTGATCTGATTCACTGAAGCCTATCTCCTGGAAGGCGGTCTCCATCATGTTCATGGGCCATACAAGGATCTCTATCATCACTTCTGCCCCTTTGCTTTCATGGACTGAGGGCCAACGGACCTCAAAGACAATGGGGACCCTCATACAGCATTTATTATCTCGCCCCTAAAATGCCAATGCTTTAGAGCTAGCCAATCAAATGTTTCTACCAGTCATTTCAGCATATGTAGGTTTTTAAACTTACTGGAGGAGGGTAGGTGAAGAAAGGGGAGCATTGAGGTGTAAGTTGAAGATATTTAAAATCACCAGCTCTGTGAGGTTCTCCTGTCTATAGGCAGGACACCAGGCACCTTTTCAACAGTACGATCAAGAGACAAGTAGGAGAGCTCCATGATTCCATCATTGGGCCTCTTTATAGGAATCATTGTCTTTCAACACACCTGCAACTGATGGGAGAATTTTTTATGGTAGTAGCTAAGGCTTAACAAGCATGCTTCAAAAGGATGTTTATGTGTCTTCCCTGTTCATTGGGATGGTTCACCAAAGAGAAAAGCTGGTATATGATTTTTAGAAGACATTGAGATCTTTATTTATTACATGGAAGTTTTCCACCAATTATGAGAAAAGCACTAAAGATCTCAAGTCACAAATATATTCAGAAAATGGTAGAGGAGGCAGAATGGTGGATGTCTGCAATCTTAGTCCTCAAAGATAAGAGGCAGGAGGGTCACTAATATAAGGCCATTCTGGGTTAAGTAATGTGACTCTGTTTTAAAAAGAAGAGATCAAAATGTAATGGTTTGACTTGTGTCTTTTGATATTGGAACAGAGTGAATGTAGTATGCATTCAGAAAAACAAACAAAACAAAACAAAACAAAGAACTAAACAAAAAACCCAACAACAACAAAACAGCTTTTGGCTTTTCTTGGACTGCCTGAATGGGATACAAAGGCACTTATGATGGCCAACCATCAGCTAAGGTAATGATCCTCAGCATGCTATGGTGAGCTGGGTTAAGCTATCACGTCTGGTAGGTTAGCTCCATTAACTACATGTTTTAACTTATACTATTTTCAGTTGGTGAGTTTATCAGGACAAAGCCATCAGGTTGCTCACAGCCGATAATCCCAGTTCCAGGGGATCTCATACTCTTTGATCTGAATGGGGTTGGCACTATTGACATGTGGCTTGCATAAACTCAAGTAGGTATACACATACACAGAGTTTTTTTTTAATTCAATCTTTTAAAAGTTGCAAAGGAAAAATAAAAAAAGAATAGTTGTCTTATCTCTAGACAACAGCTCATATATTGGGGGTATTTTTAAAGTGTTCTTCAAACACAGCTGATAAATATCAAGTCATAAATACCTTTGTGAAATCCAAAATCTGCTTCTCAGCAGGGGCAAGCAAAAGTGCTTATATGTCCTGTCTGGGAAGCCCTGGGGGGGGGGGGAACGACTGTGGCTGTGATTCCTGCTCTGTCAGCTAAATCTACCAAAGATTAAATGCTATGTACATAGTAGCCAGTGAGCATAGGTCTTCCCTGAAGGCTGGCAGATGTCTTGATGAGAGGTCCCAACCCCCCATCACCTGTACACAGGGCAGTCAGCACCTGGCAACCTGCAAATAAACCCCTTGCTCTTTAATTGCTTTGGTACGGCACCAGCAGCAGCTGTGGCCACCAGCGTTGCTAAGTAAACAACAGGTTTCTGCACCTGCTGCAACAAAATCTTGACCATAATATTGACCAATCACGTAAACCCAGGTAATTTGGCCTTCCCTAATGTAAGTAGCCATGGAGATTAGCAGCTGCCTGACACTATTGATTCTCTGCCCCACATGTGTGATACCTGCCCCATTGTTGCCTCCTGACAGCCTCTTCTTTGAAAATATGTATAATTGGTCTCATGGCTACTTCCTTCTAGTTTTTTTCTCCTTTCTCCTCTGTCTTCTGAGTTGGCAACACCTCTCTGGAGTTCCAAAGTAGAGCATACTCAAACTTTTGGACCCCACAAAAGAGACATTGAAAGACTGAAGCAGGAATATGAGTTCTTATTTTTACTTAAAGAAAACATCATTTTGGATGTTTGTTCTATATCTCCATACTGCAAAGAGGACCATCAAGCTCGCAAGGAGCATCCAGGTGGAAATGACATGACATTTAACTCAGCCTCCCACAGAATAAGAATAGTCCACCATCTTCCACACAAGCGTGTACACTGATCTGAGATTCTTAGCAAGAGGCATCCCAAGGCCCAGGAGATGCACACCTCAGGTTTTCAGTCAAACAATAGAAAAATGGAGAATCCAGCAGCAATGGAGGAGAAAGAGCCCGGCTGCTATGAGAATCCTCCCTGGGTGACATCTTTACAAATGTGTATATTTTCCTGGAAGCAGACCTGGGTTTTAGGAAAAAAACATGCATGCCTGTGAAGTCTTGTAGGTGGGGAAGGACAGGATACAGGGGACTAATTCAGAAAGTAAATTCCAAAGGCATCTGATGCTAACTGGCCTTTGGTACTCACCTATCTGTCTGTAGTTTTCTCCCCCAAACAATTCTTCTCGAAATTGGTTGGTAACTAAAGAATTTTCAATGTCAGGGTCTTTGCTTTATCAACCAGGAAGTATACTGTTAACAAGAAAAACGTAAAACAGTGTAAACTGAGCCTTGAGAGAAAGAACAGGCAACCGAGTCAGAGACAGCCCCTGCTCCCTCTGCCAGGAGTCCCACAAGAAGAATAAGCCACACAACTGCAACGCATGCGCAGAGGGCTCCGATCAGTTCCATCCATGTTCTCTGGTTGGCAGTTTATTTAGTCTCTGTGAGCCCCAATAGCCAGGTCAGTTGACTCTGTGTGTTTTCCCCTGGTGGCCTTGGTCCCTCTGGCTCTTATAATCTTTCCTCCCCCTATTTCACAGGATTTCCCAAGGTCCGCCTAATGTTTGGTTGTGGGTCTCTGCATCTGTTTCCATCTGTTGCTGGATGAAGCCTCTCTGATGACAGTTGGGCTAGGCAATAATCTGAGTACAGCAGAATATCATTAAAAATCATTTCATTGACTTTTTTTTCTCTTTTGCTGGTCATTTTTGGCTCTATCCTTTGTCTTTGCGCCCTCCAGGCAGCGTCAGGGGTGGGCTTGTTCTCGCAGGATGGGTCTCAAGCTGGACCAGTCATTGCTTGGCCACTCCCATAATTTCTGTACCACTGTTGTCCCAGCAAATCTTGTAAGGAGGGAAAATTGTAGGTCAGAGGTTATGTGGATGGGTTAGAGTCCCAAACTCTCCACTGGAAGACTTTTCCTGGTTACAGGAGATGGCCAGTTCAGTCTCTTTATCTCCCATTGCGAGGAGTCTTAGCTAGGGTCACCTTCATAGATTGCTGGGAGTTTACAATGCGCTAGGTTTCTAGCTCATCTCAGAGATGCCTCTGATTCCAGCTGTCTCTCCCAGTAGTCTTGCCCTCCAACCTCCCCTCATTTGATCTCTCCTATTCCCATGCCCACCCACCCCCATCCAGACCTCTTTCCCCATCTACCTGTCACGTCTATTCTATTTCCCCCTCACAGTGAGATTCATGTGTACTCCCTGGAGCCTTCCTCATTACTTAGGTTCTTTGGGCCTGTGGATTGTAGCATTCTTTACATCTAATCTCTACCTATAAGTGAATATATAAAATTTTTTGCCTTTCTGGGTCTGCATTACCTCACTCAGAATGATCTTCTCTAGTTCCATCCATTTGCCTGCAAATTTCATAATGTCATTGTTTTAATGGATGAGTAATACTCCATTGTATTAATGTATCACATTTTCTTTATTTATTCATCAGATTATTTCCAGTTTCTGGATATTACAAATAAAGCTACTATGAAAATGGTTGAGCAAGTGTCCTTGTGGTATGGTGGTGTGTCCTTTGAGTATATACCCAAAAGTGGTATAGCTGGGTCTTGAGGTAGATTGATTCCTAATTTTCTGAGAAACTGCCATATTGATCTTCAAGATGGCTGTACAAATTTGCACTCCTACCAGCAATGGAGGGGCATTCCTCTTGTTCCACATCCTCACCAGCATGAGCTGTGACTTGTTTTCAGTCAGTCATTCTGACAAGTGTAAGATGAAATCTCAGAGTCATTTGATTTGCATTTTCCTAATGGCTAAGGATGTTCAACATTTCTTTAGGTATTTATTGGTCATTTGAGATTCCTCTGTTGAGAATTCTCTGCTTAGATCTGTACCTCATTTTTAATTGAATTATTTGGTTTATTGACCTCTAGTTTCTTGAGTTTTTTATATATTTTGGAAATCAGTCCTCTGTCATATGTGGGGTTGGTGAAAATCTTTTCCCATTTGTAGGCTACTTACTGTTTTGTCCTTTTGATTGTGTTCTTTGCCTTACAGAAGCTTCTCAGTTTCATGAGGTCCCATTTAGTAATTGGTGTCTGTACTATTGGTGTTCTGTTCAGGAAGTTGTCTCCTGTGCCAATATGTTCAACACTATTCCACACTTTCTCTCTATCAGGTTTAGTATATCAAGTTTTACATTGAGGTCTTTAATCCACTTGGACTTGAGTTTTTGCAGAGTGAGAGATATGGATCTATTTGCATTCTTCTATATGCTGACATTCAGTTAAACCAGCACCATTTGTTGAAGATGCTTTCTCTTTTCCATTGTATATTTTTGGCTTCTTTATCAAAATTCAAGTGTACATAGTTGTTGGAGGAAATGAATCACTATGGAGGCTGGCTTTAAGATTTCTTTTTTTTTTTCCTTTTATTTTATTTTACAATACCATTCAGTTCTACATAACAGCCACAGATTCCCTTGTTCTCCCCCTTTCTGGCCCCCTCCCCTTCCCCCCAGCCCACCCCCCATTCCCACCTCCTCCAGGGCAAAGCCTCCCCCCGAGGACTGAGATC